CTAGTTATGGTCCCATGAGTAGGGATTCCTCTCTCTCACTGGCATTTACATCCTTCAGATGTTTACAGCCTGTCCCCCATCACCGTGTCTTGCACATCTCCTAGTCAAGCTGTATGTAACACCACACCCTTGTGTGTGTGGGGAGGTGCATCAGCTGAGGGGATTGAACCTGGGTCCTTTGGATCTTCACACATGCGCCTCTGGTGTCTGAACCAAAAGACCCACCTCTGTTAGCCGAGGCTGTAGCAGAGTGAGTGCATGTAACATGTACATATTCGTCTCTAATCTTCCTTTGTCGCGCCACACCTCCAGCCCCCTGAACATTTGAAAAGTGAAGATACAAGGGGGTTGTGCGAGGCTCAGATACTACAGTGATAGAGCTAGGTTGCTACTGCTGCAGCTCTCAAGGATTTATACTGTGGCTCCTTCTGTGGATGGCCTGGTCAGACATCCTTGACCACTGACTGATGGCTGCTAAAGATCCCTTCTTTGCACCAGCCTTGCAGGTCACCTTGGTTATATAGATGACTGGGACAGATGGAGGGGAGTTGTCGTCCTACTGTGATGGACTGTGAAGTCTCAAGTCCTGTGTTCTGGCTGTGGTGGAGGCTCAGAAAGCTTCTCTGACCCCACGCCATTCCCCAGGCCCCAGCCAGTAGTTGACATGCAGGTAAATCTGAGCCACCTCCTCTTGGATCCGGGGTCAACAGCAGCAACTGTCCTCTGGTGCAAGGAAACGCTCAGAATGGACAGATCAGTGGAAGCACAGCTGCATCAGGAGACAAGCGCAGCGTTTGGTTGAATTCCAGCCAGTTTCCCTCCCTGAGGCTCTGGCAGAGCGGCAGCCTATGACCTGTGAGATGGACCCGTCTTTGTTGCATGCAGCAAAAACAAGTGGGGATCTACTGGGGTCATTAATACACGGATCATCTGTGCCTCTGTGGAAGAGGACATGGAGCCATATTCCCATAAACAGGAAGCAAGGCTGTTGTTTAGTAAAACACCATCTTGTCCTTAGGTTTTTTTTTTTTACGAGAGTATGGGGAGAGGGGATTATTGAAAAGAATTGCCAGAATTGCTATGCTAGCGTGGTGAGGGTTCAGATTTCTTTGTGGGCTCTTGGTCTGGTTTGTTGGCCTAGAGACGCTCAGATGCAAGCACAGATTTCCCTGATTGGTACCTTGACAATGGACAGAGGTGAGCCCTTCATAGAACTGGAAGGGACCTCGAGAGGTCATCTAGTCCAGTCCCCTGCACTCATGACAGGACTAAGTATTATCTAGACCATCCCTGGTGGGTTTGTCTAACTGTCTTTTAAAAATCTCCAATGAGTGAGATTTTTACATCCTCCCTAGGCAATTTTTCCCAGTGCTTAACCACCCTGATAGTTGGGAAGTTTTTCCGAATGTCCAACCTAAACCTCCCTTGCTGCAATTTAAGCCCTTTGCTTCTTGTCCTATCCTCAGAAGAACAATTTTTCTCCCTCCTCCTTGAAGCAACCTTTTAGGTACTTGAAAACTGTTATGTCCTCATAGGTCATGTTTTCTAGACCTTTAAACGTTTTTATTGCTCTTCTCTGGACTTTCTCCAATTGTCCACAACTTTCCTGAAGCATGGCACCCAGAACTAGAGACAATACTCCAGCTGAGGTTGTATCAGCACGGAGTAGAATGGAAGAATTACTACTTGTGTTTTGCTTACAACACTCCTGCTAATATATCCCAGAATGATGTTTGCTTTTTTTGCAACAGGGTTACATCGTTGACTCATATTTAGCTTGTGATCCGCTATGACCCGCAGATCCCTTTCCGCAGTACTCCTTCCTAGGCAGTCATTTCCCATTTTATGTGTGTGCAACTGATTGTTCCTTCCTAAGTGGAGTACTTTGCATTTGTCCTTACTGAATTTCATCCTATTTACTTCAGACCATTTCTCCAGTTTGTCCAGATCATTTTGAATTTTAATCCTATCCTCCAAAGCACTTGCAGCCCCTCCCAGCTTGGTATCATCCGCATAGAGTGTACTCTCTCTGCCATTATTTAAATCATTGATGAAAATATTGAACAGAACCAGACCCAGAACTTATCCCTGCAGGACCCCACTCGATATGCCCTTCCAGCTTGACTGAACCGCTGATAATTATTCTCCGGGAACGGTTTTCCAACCAGTTATGCACCCACCTTATAGTAGCTCCATCTAGGTTGTATTTCCCTAGTTTCATGTTGATCCCTGTGGAGCTGTCTGCTCCCTTGGTACCATTGACCACGAAGGGGTCTTCCCTCCCCCACAGACCGCAGCCAGCATTGGTGGAGTTGTTTTGATGGCTCTGTTTCTTCCTCTTGGGGAGATCTCAGAGGGTGATACTAAGGCTCCCTCATGTGTGGTTCCTCTTGCTCCACACATTGGGAAGGCTGCTAGGGAGGACTGCTACATTTCTTAGGTTGCTATGCTGTCGTTGTGCTGATGACCCTCTCCTCTGTGTCTCAGCAGACTCAAATCATGTTGGCTCTAACTTCCTGGTGCCTGGCTGAGATGGCTAACACTTAGTCTGGGCAAGATGAAAGGGATGCTGGTTGCTGGTGAAAGGAACCATCTAGAGAACTGCACTGTTCTGCAAGTGAGATCCACACCCTATGGAATCTCGGGTGGCAGGAGTACCTTCAACCTCTGAATTTGTCTAGGACTCTGCAAACTGCCCTCTCTGATGTGGAGCTCCCTGCAGTCAGTGATGCCTTGGGAATCTCTGTCTGATCACTGCACTGAGCACAACCTGGGGCTGTCTTTGGAGGCCATGTGTGAGCTTCAGCTAGGGCAGAAGGCAGCTGCTCATTTAGTGAGCAATGCAGATGGTACAGGGTGTATCCCCTGCCCTGTGTGGAAGATGCTGGCTTTTGACTTGCCTCCAGGTGCAATTCAAGGGGTTGACTTTGATCTCTAACCCTGTATGCTGTGGATCCTGGGTGAGTGAGAGAGCTCCTCTGCTGATGCTTTGTGTCAGCAGCTGAGATCAGAGGGCTGTTTCTGCTGATGGTACCTAGATATGCATGTAAGGGGTATTTGAGGCAGGTCCTGGGGTGGGGTGGGTTATCCCATCATGCGCTGCCCCACATCAGTCATTGGTGCATGTTGCATAGCTATTTACACTAGTGCACAGTGGGTGTAATGGGCCAGTGGATCTGAGTGGAAGAGCCGGATTCTGTTCTCACTAACATCAGAGTGAGTTTGGAATAACTGCATTGATTTCATTGGCATTACCCTGGTGGAAATGTGATTTGGAAGCAGCATGGCCGGCTATGGAAGCAGCAGGACATGGGAAAGCCAAACCCTTTCAGCAGAAGATTTTTGACACTGGACATTTGCTTACCCAAAACAGCCTGAGTTTGTTGACCTTCAGAGAGTATCATAAGGCCAGTGTGCTTGTAACCTGGGCTCACTCCTGAGATGGGCCGACAGAGCGGGTGGGGCTGAAGGGGCACGTTGTTTAGCTCAGAGGTGGGCAAACTACGGCCCGCGGGCCACATAGCTACCCCCGGCCCCTCCCCCGCAGTCTCAGCACGCCGCGCGGGCAGCGGGGCTGCGCACTTATGCAGGGCAGCACGGCAGCATGTCTGGCTCCAGCCAGGAGGCGTGGCTCCAGACATGCTGCTCTGAGTGGCATGGTAAGGGGGCTGTGGCAGGGGGGTTGGATGGGCAGGGAGTTCTGAGGGGGGGCAGTCAGGGGGCAGAAAGTGGGAGGGGGCAGATGGGGACAGAAGCCAGGCTGTTTGGGGGGCGCAGCCTTCCCTACCCGGCCCTCCATACAGTTTTGCACTCGGGCCAAAAAGTTTGCCCACCCCTGGTTTAGCTGAAGCTGTGGTGATGTGAAGTGCTGCTGCGTCATTGCTGTGGGCTGGGAGCGAACAGTGTCTTAACTGTAAAAGAATCCTATTTCTGCTCTGATTGGGTGTGTGGTGAGGGCCACTTCCCCCCAGGGGAAATTTAAAATAGGGGCCAGACCCCTCCACTATGAACCCTGCCTTTTTACTAGCTACTCACAACACGTCTCCTACCTCCCCCACTCTCTCTTTACCTTCCCACCCCAAATTCCTGGTGCCTCTTCACCATGTCCCCATTAGCAGCAGCAAGTTTCCACAAAGCCCCTGGACTCCTGGGTCCCCAAGTGTGGCTGGGGCTGCTGGGCTGGGATTCGAATCGCAGTCCCACCAGGGTAAATCAGGAGTGACTCCACTGAAGTCAGTGGAGTTACTCTAGATTACCCCCTGCGTGCCTGGCACTGAGTCGCCTTCTGATGGCTGGTATTTTTAGTAGCCCCGTATGAGATGAGTTGGTCTTTCCTCCGTCTTGTCCCTAGAGGACAAAGTACCAAACTTGTGGTACTAGCTGGCCCCCTTGTCATTGGTCTCAGCAGAGATCCCACGAAGTGATAGGCCGTGGACGTTGAGCTCCCCACTTTCCCTAACAGGTCCCTCTAGATCTGGGCTGAGGCATGCTGGCGGTGAATGGTGCGGGGGAAGTCTGCAGGGCCACCACTCCTGATGTGCCAGTTGTGGGGAGGAACCGAAGATGGCTGTCTCCAGGGGGTCAGTCTGGAACCCAGCTCCATTACAGATGTTACTGAAAAGCCCCCTGATGTTTGAGTATCTATAGTGGCCGCCGCAGGAGGAAGAGAGAGAGAGAGAGAGAAGCATCTCCAGGAAGGATGATCCTCCACTTTAGATTAGTTTGGTGGATCTCAATCTTTTCCAGGGCAGGACTCACCCTCCTCATTGTTCTGAGTGAGGGCGACTCCCGGAGTCGCATGCCTGGCTTCCCAACGGTGCTGCACTGGCATGGAGGCTGCAGGGTGTAGGGAGTGCAAATTGGGGCACTGGTGAGATGGCCTTTTGCACCCAGGGGGTAGGCTGTGAGGGGTTCCTCCTCTGTGCCGGGAAGCCCAGTGTGGGCGTGCCGGCTCTGGGAAGGTCCCCATACCCTCTCACTGGCCTTGCCCTCCCTTACAGAAGCAGGACCAGGATGACGATGCTGATGATGTGGAGATTGCCATCGAGAACACGGGGTTCATGGACGAGTTCTTCTCCGAGGTGAGGAGGAGGCATGGCCCTGAGACAGGCCTCAGTCTCATTTACGTTGTCCGTGTCCATTCTCTGGGGGGAGGGAGCAAGGTGGGCTGGCAGATCTCCTTTTCCTGGGGAGCTCTTGGGGCTAGAGATCTCCTCTCCTTTAGTGAACTGTGGTTCAGTGGATAGGGCACAGATCCAAGTGCTTCTCCCAGATCGGCCACTGGCTGGCTTGGTGACCTTGGGCAAATCCTGTCCCCTCTCTGTGCCTCAGTTTTCCCTCCCACCTTTGTCTGTCTCGCCTATTTAGACTGATACACGTTTAGGGCAGGGACTGTCTCTAAATGTCTTTACAGCCCCTAGCACCCTACGGCCTTGATCACAGTTCAGTGCTACTGTAATATAGCTAATAGTGATCTCTTGCGGTTTAGATTGAAGAAACCCGACAAAATATCGAGAAAATTGCAGAGAATGTGGAGGGGGCAAAAAAGCTGTACAGTATCATCCTGTCCGCCCCCATCCCTGAGCAAAGTAAGTCTGAGACTCCTCCTGGGCCTGAACAAGAGTGAACAGGTCACCTGCCTGGGATGGGTCAATCCAGCTGGGGGGTGGAGGGTGGATCTCTACCGGGGGGTGGGTGGGCGGGCAGCAGGTGCTCTCCTGGTGACCTTACTGGCCAGGGTCCCCAACTACTGATGACTTGTGCTTTTGCAGAGACGAAAGATGACCTGGAGCAGCTCACGGCAGAGATAAAAAAAATAGCCAACAGTGTCCGAAACAAGCTTAAGAGTAAGAGACTGATTCCCCCCTGTGCTGGCTGATTTGGAGCCTTCCTTTACTGTAGAGCCCTTCCTAGGGCTGACCATACCCTGTCAATGCCCATCCATTGCTCATCTTCTTTCCTCCTCCTCAGGACTGCCCTTTCCTCCCTGCACCCCACTGGGACTGCTTCTTGGAAATGACCCTTCCTTGCCAGGAGCTTTTCTCCCCCTAGTGGGGCACTGGCTGGATGCTGGGACCTTTGGATCTTAATGCGCAGGTCTCTATTGCTTGCATTAAAAGACCCACCTCTGTTAGTCCAGCCTGTAGCAGGCTCATCCACCTCTGTGGCTCAGACACCACTAGCGGGGACAGAGTGCCACGCAGAGTGGGCGTGGCTGCATCTGGTGCCTCCTAGTGCCTGGATAGGAAGGTGGTGCAGAAGGCCGAACCCACTGACTTGGCTATGGAGGTGTGGGGGGCAGTAAGGGATTGAGCCCCTTTTTTAAGGGAAGAGGAGAACTTGAAGTTTGTGGGGTAGGGAAGCTGAGACATGAGACTGTGCAGCTGGTCCAGCCCCCCCATTATTTCACCCCACTTGCCCGTGTCCCCAGGCATGGAGCGGAGCATTGAGCAGGATGAGGTCCAGTCGTCAGCGGATCTGCGGATACGGAAATCCCAGGTGAGCAGAGCACTCCCTCATTCCCACACTGCAATCCCTGTATCTACCTGCCCCTAGCTAGAATGGGTCCCAGAGGGAGCGGGCTGCACCCATAGAGAGCCCAGGTGGGGAGGGGACAAAGGTAGCATCAGAGATGGGAGACTGTACCTCAGTCCTGTGTGGGGAGATGATACGTTACAGAGAACAAAAAGAGCAGTACATGGATCTTTGGCTTCATCTGAGGATCTGTGAGTGGTGGGCTCCTCAGTCCAACGGACAAAGGCAGAACTAGATCCAATGGCTGGAAGTTGATTTTGCACAAATTTAGACCAGAAATAAGATGCAAATTCTGTATTAGGAGGTAGTTAACCATTAGAATGACTTTATCTAGGGCTGAGGTGAATTCTTCAGCCCTACACTTCTAGGAGTGTGTTGTTCAAAGTCAAGACCAGATGTTCTTCCAAACAATCGGCTCTAGCTCACCCAGAAGTTCTGGGCTTCATGGAGGATTCATTGGCTGAAATTTTCTGGCCTGTTATACAGGTTGAACTAGATAATTCCTTCAGACCTTAAGTGCTATAAAAGCACTATCCAGAGCATTATTATCCCTTTCATACAGATGGGTAAACCGAGGCACGGGCAAGTGACAGCATTTCCCCAACGCTGCAGTGGGTGCTCCTATCAGAACCATCCAGGCTGTGTTTGGGGAAAGGGGAGGATAAGGAGGAGAGAGGGTATGGAGAGCAGGTAGGCTGTGCTGTGGTCAGATAGCTCCCCAAGCAGATGGGGCAGATGGCTATCCCAGCTGGAGAGGCAGTGCCCGTGAACCCACATTACCACAATATAGATCATACAATGAACTGCTCGTCTCCTCCTTTCCCTCCCCCCAGCATTCTGTCCTTTCCCGGAAGTTTGTCGATGTGATGACCAAGTACAACGAGGCACAGGTCGACTTCCGAGAACGTAGCAAAGGGCGGATCCAGCGGCAGCTCGAGATCAGTATGTACCCTCCCCGCTCAGGGGACGTGGCCCACAGGCAGCATATGGCCAGGGCCTGACCCTCCTCCCCAGCCCAAGGGGTGGTTGGATTAATTGCCCACAGGAATGGAAACTATCCCACTCCAGTTTGTGAGCCTGAGTTACTGCAGAGACCATAATTAGGGCCCTAGCAAATTCACGGCTGTGAAAAACGTGTCATGGACCATGAAATCTGGTCTCTCCTGTGAAATCTGATCTGTTGTGTACTTTTCCCTATACTATACAGTGTTCTCAGTGGGGGTTCTGACCCAAAAGGGGGTTGCAAGACTGTTGTAGGGGCGGTCACAGTATTGCCACCCTTACTTCTGTGCTGCCTTCAGAGCTGGACTGCCAGAGAGCGGTGGCTGGGCTACCAGCTCTGAAGGCAGCACTGCAGCAGTGCAGAAGTAAGGGTGTGTGTGTGGGAAGGGTGCGGGGGGGGGGGAGGTCGTCATGGGCTTTATATTTTGCTGTTTTTAAATTCAGTGTTGTAACAAAACAAATATGTAATTTAAGATTTAAATATCTGACACTGAGAAATTCAAGATTTAAAAAATGGTGTGACCGTGAAATTTACAAAAATGGATTGTGAATTTGGGAGAGTCCCAACCATAATCCTCCCATGATCCCCTCCCACCCAGGGTGTCTCAGTGCCCCCTGCTGGGAAGTGTGGGCTGGGCAGTTGTGGGATTCCTCCCTATCCCCCAGCTGTGTCTCTGCTGAATGTGGGGGAGGTTTAGAATCTGGGCTTGGAAGACATGTCTCAGTTTGGAGGCCAGAGGGGTTCACACAAACACACCTGTCCCCAAGAGCAGCCAAAGTGAATCTCCCCACTCTCTTCCCTCCCCCCGCCCCCCCCCCCCAGCCTTGCTGGTTCCGCCATTCATGCCCAGCGATTTGGTCTGATCTCTCCTCTCTTTCTCCCATGATAAAGCTGGGAAGAATACAACGGATGAGGAGCTGGAGGAGATGCTAGAGAGTGGAAACCCCTCGATATTCACATCTGGGGTGAGGACGCAGTGGGGACTGGGAGGAGATGGGGGAATGGAGGTGCATAAAGAGGAGGGACCTTGGAGCATATGATGGTATAATAGTACCTAGCTCTTACAAAGCGCCTTCATCAGTAGATCTCAAAGCACTTATAGAATGGGAAATCTAGGGGGAGACACTGGGATGGGGGGGGTGAGCAGTGGGAATTTGGGGTGATGGGCAGCGAGTGTGGGTGTCAG